GTGGCTATTGCAAGAAGACATTGTCTGCAGCTGGATATCCAGACAAATGCTGACACCAGGTAAAAAATGGCATGTCTAGTGCCACCTCTTTATTCCATTTTCCCTTTTCTTGCACTCCATCCTGCTCTTCTACAAAGCAGCCCTAAGTTCCCATCACTTAAAACAGCAGACCAGCAAGGATGCTGCATCCTCAGTCAAGCAGCACAAGCCCAGGAATCCTGTGTCCATCCCCTAGATCTCCCAAGTAGCTAAGGCAGGCTTCCTAACAGCACGGCAGTGCCTGATTAACCTCACCTGCCCTCCCTGAAGTTATTAGCAGCCTTTTTGCATTTCTGAGAAATCTTGGGTTGGGGACACACAGTAGGAGCCAGCTGGTCTAAACAGATACCTGACTCAAATCAAATAGCACAATATCTTGAGCTGACAAGTACAAAAAGCCAGATATGCAGAGCAGATCTTATGAAAGAGAGATCCTCCCCCACACTGCTCCCCTCCAGCGCCTGGAAGGCAGCAGGTGACAGTGGCTGTGACTTTGCTCCTGCCACTGCCAAGCAAGAACAAGAGGAAGAGGGCAGCTCCTAAATTCCCCTTTTGGCATGTGCAGAGGGGAAGGGGCTGGCGGCACCAGGTTTCTACAAGCACCTCTCTGTTCAGAAGCAGATTTGACACGGACCTCTTTGCCAGCCGCCCCGGGTGGGCTGTTCAATTACACTACAGAAGGGTTTTTTCAAGGCTACTAGCCAGTATTTTAAAATGTCCCAGCACATCTTTGTGTGGCTCACAGTTCAGGAGTTGCAGACCATACATAGCAGAAGTCACCACAGACACATTTTTCTACAAAGTCTGAAAGAAAAAAAAATCCCAGTAGAAATATTTTAACATTTCAGCAGCTTTTTAGTTTTCCCGTTCATAGCTGAAGCAGAGACCTGTCCAGGCTCACACTGGGGAAAATGTGAAGATCACTGCCTGCCACCTCTGGACCCCAAGTGCTAAACCTGTGACCTCTCACCTCAAACACTTGGATCTGAGCCATGCAACTGATGTTTGCATTCTCTGTTGAGTACTTTCTGAACAATTTCAGTCTGTTTTTGTCTGGTTTATGAAATTATGAGCGTGTTCTATAGCTGCTTTCATACCAGCCTGCACAGGGCAGGATGCCCATTGCAGCCTGGGACCAATCCAACCTGAAGACACCTCCCCAGGCCCCCCAGCCTGGCTGCAGCTCTGGCATTTCACCAAAGTGGGATTGCAAGTCTGCATTTCCAAGTGGGTTCTGGGGTCAGCATTAACCCACAGAGGAAGAGACCTTATGCTTCCTCTGGCTGGGGTTTCTGAAGCCAGACTTCAGAACCAGATTTTCAGACAGAGATATGAAAATCCATCCTTACCCTGCCCTTCCTGCTTGATCCTTTCCAAACACTTGGACTGACTTCTAGATCCCTGGCTTCAAACCTCCATTTCCCATTTCCTCTGCCTGAGTACACTGAAATGGAATCAGTGAGGATCTTGTTTTATTAATACATTTGCACTTTAGAGGACCATTTAATCCACAGGCTACATGTTACAGCCTGACTCTTTCCTGCCTGCTAATCTGATTATCAAGGTAAGGACTGAGCAGTGCCCTACAGACCAGCTGGAGAGTTCTGAGCAGGCAGGCGAGACTAAGCCTCAGCCTCTCTTCCTGTGTGTAACCCCTTGTCTTGTCAGGGATCCAGACCCCGGGCAGTGGTGGCCCTGGAGATGAGCAACACCCACAGATGCCCCTTCTCCTGCAGCTGGCTCCTGTCCCCTCACTGACTGCTCCTTTTCTGCCTGCCCTCTTGTAACAGGTGAAGGATTTGTGCCTTTGCACCTGCACAGCTTTTCTGGAGTTTCAGCCTGGCCTGCCATGCTGTGCATGGGGATAATGTGCTGTGAGCTGGCAGGATGTGCTCCTGCCTCCCCTGCTGAAGGTCACGAAACAAGGACCTGGGTGCTGCCCATAGGCCATGAACCTTTTGTGAGCTGGGCAAAGCTGCTAGGAAACCCACTGCCCTGGACAAGGAGCACACAGAAAAGTGAAATCTGACACTTAGGCTGTTTTGTTCTCGACCTGGGGACAAGTCCTTATCAGCAGAGAGGTCAGCAAGACCTGGAGCATATGCTTTCTGTGATTTATTTTGTCTTTTTAGGTCCTATTTCCGACACTGATCTCGCTTTGACCGCCAAAAGAAGGGGGTTTAGTCTTCCCCCAGTCTTTTCACTTCTATTAGACTAAATACTGGAGGTACAATAATGGGCAAGAGAAAAATGAGAACAGTGAGAGGATTTGGTTATTTTCTTGTCAATAACAACATGCATTTATTAAGTAGGGGAGGTTTTTTTTTGCTTTGATCATGGTCAAGGTACCATTTGGAAGGGATATGGGTGCAGATTCATCTCCCAGAAAGTGGGATGGGAGAAGCAATAATAGCCAAGTGGTCTCTGGGGAAAACCTGTCCTAGGCCCAAGTCCCCTCCCTCCCTGCTGCTGAATCAGGCTGGAGCAGCCACAGCCTTGGCTCCCCTTCCTGAACTCCCTTCTCTTGGGGGCTTAAGTGATGAGTAGGGGAAAATCCCCCACTAAAAGATTTGCATTGGAAACCCTTGGCTGAGGAATGACTTTTAAAATAGAAAAGCTTTGCCTGAAAAGGGATGAACCATGCAGCATAATTCTCAACAAATCGCCTGTTTAATGGCCTCTCTTTTTAGCAGCTGTGCATTAATAACAAAAGCAGGGCAGCAGAAGCCATGTGCTTCTTTGTAAGATTAAAATAAATACTATTTCATACTAATACCAGCAACTTTCTGTGCCTAAGAGAAAGGAGCAAGTGGAAGATCACAGCCTGAGAGACTAGGTTTCCTTCCCTTAGTTTCCCTTTTCCTCTTGGTTTCCTTTTCCTTTGTCTGCTGCTGGATGAAGAAATATTTCTGCCATCTATGAAGGGAACAGATACACTGGACCACCCTGCCAGACAGTGGTTTGGTTTATAGTGGTTTGTGGCAGGCTTGTCTCACACAGTCAGCATGACACCATTTGAAGACAGGAGTAGTTCCTCCAGAACTACATCTTAGGGGAAACAAGGCTGGAGAGAACTTAATCAAACTTACTTTTTACTTTGCAAAGCATCATACAAGATCTTTACTGCCATAAAGCATAAATTGAAACAACAGAGGTTCACACACAACATAAGGAGAAACTTTTCATCATGGGGACTGTAAGAGCAGTGGAGCAGGGTGCCCAAAGAGGGTGTGAAGTCTCTGTCCTTGAATGATTTCAGACCCAACTGGGTAGACCCCTGAGCAACCTGGTTTGACCTTAGACTTTACCTGAGCAGGGGTTGGGCTTGACACCTCCTGAGCTCCTCTCCAGCCTGAGTTATTGTACGACCCTAGGAACATTTGGCATTTTTTCCACGGGAATACGAACGGACACAACGTTTTGTTCAGCTCAGAACTCCACCTCTCGTTCCTGGCAGTCCTGATAACAGCTCTCCTCCTCCACCCCCTGTACTGTGCCAGGCCTGGCACTAAAGCACTGATGAGTTTTCCCTCCTCAGATTAGGACTTTAGGTGTTTAAAAAAAAAATAATTAAAAAAATTACATTTTAAAGCTGTCTGCCACAGACTGTTTATCAGACATGGAGAATGAGTTGTTTCTGTTTTGCTAGGCATAGGTTTTAGCTGAGTGAGATACGTTGCCTTGCTGAGAGCTGAGTCACTGAGTAATCAACAGATTAATGCATTCAGTTTGAAACCAGCAGCATTAGTTCTCGGCAAGCTCACAAGAACTCCATTATGGCATCATCTCCACATTTGGGATGGAAATGCCTCCAGGATTTAGAGTTCCTACGGGAAAATCCCTAGATGCAAAGAAATCAAAGTATCTCTTTGTGATTGGGAGAAATAAGGTATCTTCTCATACAGTAACACCAGAGCAGGATTTTGGCATCCCTTCCAATGAATGCTTTTATTATCAACATTCAGATAAAGAGTTTGGAGTATGTTGTACATCTGTCATTTGATAGCTACCCAAAAATAGTCATGACAAACTCACTGGCATATAGTACTTTGCCTTTACCAGGTCTTTAATTTGAAATTATTTTATTTCCAGTGAAGTAGTTTTACCTTCTCTGGGATTGCAGCATGCAAAAAGGGTGGTTTTGACTCCACTCTAGGGTTCTGAGTTACTCTGTGTGGGCTTGGTCTGAGCCAGAAATGCAAGACAGAGGCTGGCAGGGGCACCTCACAGAGGAGCCACTGTTTAAAAATAGGGAGCTGGTGAAAGTAATCACAGACTAGCAACTGTAAAAGGACAGGCTGGCCTAGGTGTGTGGTACAAGAAGGCTGCCAAGGATCACATAGCTGTTCTGATAAGACAGATGCCAATGCCTAAGAGCCTGTCCATACCAACCTTGCTGAAGTAATGCATCACTTTGTTTGCAACTGAAATTGCTGTTTGAGTACACTTAAATGGGGGATGTGTGAGTAGAAGCCAGAGAAGCCCCAGTGAAGTTAATCCTAAAAGCTTTCTACTTTAGCAGGATGGTGGAAGGGCTTTGAATGGCAGCAAGACTTCTCCCTGATCCATCAGTCCATGCAGCCTGTGTGTCCAGCACATGCACAGGAGACAGGACACAGGACATATGTTCTGACTGTTTTCTCAAATCTGTCAGTAGATCTGTCTAGGCTGTCCCTAGACAACAGATTATTTTTCTTCCCTGGCCTGACTAGAGCCAGGTCATGAGAAATTGTGCCTTTTGTGACACAGTGGTCCCCAGGGCTACACTTCCCAGCCCAAGTGTACAAATGGCACATCACGTGCAATAGTGTCTCTGTTGTACAAAATGCACGTGCAGGAGGCATTACAGCAGTGATGTAAATGTCCCCTCCCTCCTTATCCCTCCAAGGCACTGAGACTGTGCAAGTGCCTCCTGTTCCTGGTCTGGAGTGTCTGTACCCTGCAGTGGTGATTTAACTCACCCGTCGCTCCTTGTCTCCGTACTCGATGCCCAGGGTGTCCATGGCACGGACAATAGCTGCCAGGGACTGGATAGTGTTGCTGTAGACCACTGGCTTGTACTGCTTCACGTCTTCTCCAGAGAAGCCATCCTCATGGATGATCCTGAAGAAAATGCAAAGGACAAAAAACTCTTGAGAATGTAATTTCAGTGGGAGAGACATTTAAAAGACAGCTGTGCTCTTTTGAAGAGCACATCTGCTGGCTTGATTTGCTTAATTTAGTCAGCATTTCTTTTTAAACCTTTCTGGTTGTTCACCAGTAATGTGTCTGAGCCCAGTGCTGGAATTAGCATCCCTTTTGCTCTCTATCAAGAAGGTTTTGTGCACAGTTGGTGCATATGGTACCTCCTTCCCAAATGAACTGCAAATGCTGAAGCCTGGAGCATCTCATGTTCACATGCTCAGCAGTCACGGGGGGAGGCTTCCAGGTCCTACATTACCTTCCCAGTCAAGGTCTATGGAAATATGTTCAACGTGGACAAATGACCATCAGAGCAAATCTTAACCACTGGAACAAATGATAGAAACCCTCTAGTTCTTGTCTAGTCCTTTTAGTAGTAGTAACTTCTGGAGTACCTTACAAAAGGAACCAGAGTTGAAATACATGTGGGGACATGTCCCCTCTCTGGGACACAGAGAGGGGAAGTGTCTTAGTTATGAAGCACTTAAAGTACTTGCCCTTCTCCCCCCTCCTTCTCTCTCCTTTAGAATAATTGCTGAGATTTTTTTGGCTTTCAAGGCATGTTATGTTATGTCCCTTCCCCAAACAAGATGGGAATGTGACCCACACTCCTACCAGCTCTGTGTGCTGGATGCTCTGTGCATTGGTCTCTATTAAACTATGCAAAGGAACTATTTGATGGAGCAAGTTATTGCAGCCCCTTGCTTAGGTCAAAGACTGACCCCTGTAATTTATTCATCCCTAAGTAACTCCAGAACTAAGTCTGGATGTGTCTTGAAAAACAACTAGGATTTTCAGAACTAATTGTGTCTGACAATAATTCTTCCCAGTGAAGACATAAGTTTTGTCTTAAATGTTGGAAGAGAGGATGATCTGCTTAGCTAAAATGAAATCCTTGTTTGCTCATCCTCAGATGTCACTGGACAACAGAGGGTCCTTCAGTAACAGATCTGGTCTCTGATAAAACCTAGCACCCTTTCTGTAACAGGATTTTTGATTCCTTTTTTTTCTAAATCAGATACACAACATCAAAGGTCCTGACAAGTGCTGGCATCCCCTGGGAGAGAGGGAGCACTAGCTCACACTGTGAGCTTGCAATAGATCCAATGCTGGGATGGAGAATGGGGCTGGATGCCAGCCCAGAGTTATTAACAGATGACTACACCAAGAACAAGGCTGCTAGAAACATGCTGACCAAAACAGAGATCTCCTTGCCCTGATGTGAAGCTCACAGAAAGGTTTTCTAGCACAAGTGACTCTCTGCTGTCCCCACCTCAACCTTTGCTTACTCAACACTGCACGCTGAGCTCCTGGGAGGAGCTGCTCAACAACCCCTGAGTCCTGCAAAAACATGACTACAAGCAAAGACAGCCTCAGACAGACAATAATTCAAATCAATTGATTTGAATCAATTGATTTGAATCCTGGTGATCAGGATATTTTTAAGCTACTGATCTGAGGCAGAGCCCTCTTCTTGGCTACCCTTCAGCAGAGGCAAATGGTGCTGGTGTGCTGGAAACAGCACAGGGGGCTGCTGGTTTCCCTCACCTAAGCTGAGGAGAACAGGGGTGGATGAAAATCTTTCTGACTTAGTAAATCCAGACTTGACAATTAGCCCAAAAAATTTCAATAGCTTGTTTTGATTTTAATGGACTTATGGGCAACAGCAGATCTTGTACTCTGTAGCTTTTATTTCCTGTGAATCCAGTGATCGTGGTGAGGTTTGGAACAATAGCATCTGAGTGATGGGAAGGAGGTGGGGCAGCAGACCCATGTATCAGCAATGGTTCTCATGGATCATTTACTGTTACCCAGACAAGTTGCTGAACTTCTGGGAAATGTGTTCTTTGCCAAAAGGAGCAGTCAACACAAAGAGTTATGGGTGGCACAAGGCGAAAGGATCTGCATCAATTCTGTTTGAATTCAAGAGAGAATATACAGCAGCTCTTCCTCCCAGCTCTGAGCATGACAGCACAAGGCACAGCTGAGCAGGGTCCCATGGGAGGCAGGCAGGCAGTTCATGAAAGCATCACCAGGAATAATTCATTTTTTTCTGGATGGTTGGCTTGTGGCTGGATTTTGGGGTGAGCAGGATTAAATGCTGGGTTTTGAGCAACTAAGAGAAGGAAACATAAGGGGAGAGAAAGAAAGGGTGGGAACAGGCACAAGGGGCAGTGTAATGGCCTCAAGAGGATGCTGCTGAAATTTGTTTGGTCCAGCTGTTGGTCAGGATGGAGGAGATGGGAGTGATGCCCACAGCTTGGGGTGGATTTGTGTCTGGCTTTTACTGATGGGCATCAACTCAGGGATCCAGAAGGCAAAAAGAGAGCTGAACAGCTATATGGGGAAAGAGGTGAGTTTTGGTTTCTGGTCTTCTTCAGAGTTTAAACCATTTTTAGCTTTGTGTCATGAAGTTGATTACTGACATTTTCAGTTCTAAATACTCCAAGCCAGTAAGTTCCCTATTGAGTAACAGGGATCCTTGTGCTGAAGGGGCAGAATTAAGGGATGGAGAGTGGCTCTGAGATCCCTCAGTGAACACAACTGTGGCTGGGCACCAGTGCTGCTGTCATTCAAACACAGAAGTAAAACTGGCACTTTTAAAGGGGGCAGAGAAAAAACACCCTGATTGTTCCTGTGAAATCTCTCTAGAAGGCAGCCATGGAGGCTGAAAGCAGCACTGTGGATGCCAGTATGGAAGTTCTGCTGTGGGAAGTACCTATGGATTAATCAATCATGCAGTGAGCACATTACCTAATATTTGAGTGAGCAAATCCCCCCTGACTCCTGTTCCAAAGCCTGCTAGGACACTGTGAACTGGTTTATTGTCCTTTATGCTTTTCACAAGTGTTTCTCCATTTGCTTGCCTTGGCAATGTGACGGCTCCAATCCTGTAGCAGCTTTTTCCACAGTGCTTTGGGAACGTTCATGCTGCCACTCACCTGTTTGGGATACACCTTTCTTCTCACCTGCTGTTGTGCTTTATTGTCTAGAGGACATTTAAAGCTCCAACACTACTCCTGGGAGGTATCTTGCTATAGGACATGGCTTGAGCCAGCTCCTGGTGCCACAAGACACAAGAAGCAGTGTGGTCTGTGTGCTGTAGTGAGTTTGACCATTAAAAACATACAGATGTAGGAGCTAACAGAAGTGAGCAGTACACCAAAACTGTAAAGTCTTTACAGGTTTAGGCAGAATAGGCTACTACTTAATCAACCTGCAAATTATGGGAGCAGAGTGTTTTCAGCACCAAAAATGTGAAATCTCTGTTTTCTAAATGGCATATATTTTTCCCAGTGTCCGAATTACAAAGGAAAGTGCTGCAGGCAGGTTCCTCTTTGCCACACTAGAACTGGTTCTCTCCAGGGCAAAGGAAGAAAAGGGATTTAAGAGGATTCCCAGGGGCTGTAGAGGGGGGATAAAGTGCTGTAATTTAAAAAAGTAATTCTGAGCAATTAAAAAGCCATTTCATTCACCAAGTGACTAATAAAACACTGTGCTCTGAATGGAATGGTGAGAGACAACTGAAGCAACCTGATTGCCTAAGGTACCCATTAATGCCTGCTCCCCATCCCTCAGCTGCTAACAGCAGAACCCATATGTTGGCAGGTTGTGTTGTTGTACTCGTTTCAGAATGGCAGTAACAAGCAGGTATTTGCTGGAGAAAATGGTTGCACTGCAGATCAGATCTTCTGCCATCCCCCAGCAAGTCATTAATCCTGAAGAAGTGCCCAGTGCCTCAGCAATTATTGCTTAATTACAAAATAAATGAAATACTTGGAAACAGAGGGTGCTTTCTGCGTGGCAACTTGCTTTGGCTTGTGTTCAACAAAGCACTTACGTGCCTTCAGCCTTTCACTCCACAACCACTGCACCAAGAGGGCGAAGCCAGAGATGGTTCTGTGCCTGTCCCTGCTGACACCACGGCCCCTGTGGCTGTGGGACAGTGCTCTGAGCAGAGCCCACCAGTGCACTGGGGCTGCAGCTCAGCTGGGGCAGATTCCAGCAAGGAGCCACTTTGCTCAGGTCACTCCTGAGGAAAATACTTGTCCATCATCCTGAAAACTTCCTGGAGCAGAGGCCACAGTCATCGTCATTCCCATCCATCAGTTCCAGCCAAGCTATTCTGGTGCTTTCCTTCCAGCCCTTCCAACCTGTGCCAGCTTTAGTCAACACACTGACACTGCCCTACACCTTCTCAAGCAGGTCCTCCTCTTCTTTTCTGAGACACAGTGCCCCAGACTAGACCCAGTCCTCACATCTCCAGCCTGCCAAGATCATTTGAAGCTGTAAGGTTTATCCTCTGATGTGCTGAAGCACCTCTATCAGCTCCATATCACTGCCAGGGGTAAGAAATGATGTATTTCCACCCATTCTTCACTGATAAAAATTTAAAAAGAAATTGACACAGACCCCAGAGGATTCCTGGCTGACAGAGTCCTCTGCTCTGACCATAAGCCACTGATAACTGTATACTTTTGGAATGAGTTGTGCTACTCACCCATTTTTGTGTAAGACCTGTAATGGGTTTATCTGCACTATTTTTCCAGGTCACTTTTTAAAAATCCAGTGGAACTCTGACAAACCCTTCATAAAATCTAGATATGGCACCCACTATTGCTCTCCTACTTCTGCTGAGAAATCAAATGAGACTAGTTTAACATGCCTAATTTTGTATAATCCATGCTGTATGTCACTCATCTCCCTTTTTATCTTCTAGGTGGTTGCAAATTACATGATTGATAGTTCAATTCTCTTGAAAGCTTCTAGAAGTTGACTGGTCTATAATTCTTACTCCTCTTTTCTCCCTCTATATTTAGAGAGAGGCACCCTGTTTACATTTTTCCCCTGTCTTCTGGTGCCTCACCTGCCCTGCAAGAGCTCTCAAGGAGAAGTGTTTGTATTCCTGAGATGGCGCCTAT